ACGTAAGGAAAGCACTGGATGATCTGCAAAAAGTTATGAAGAATTTTGAATCTAGAATTGAATTCACAGAAGATTTGAAGAAGATGAGTGATGTAAGTGCCTACTGTTTAGTACTAAACCTAAATATTATTTTTTGAAATCTAGAAAAAAGTGAATATTTAGTTTAATAAAAATTTGTAGAAGTAGAAAATAATGCAGTCACTCTCTTCTGTGGTTGCATATGGCTGCAGTTCATTAATTTATATTAAAATACTTTTATTTTTAGTAAACATAACATTGTAAAAGGCAATGACTTAACTTTGCTGTAAAAGATAATGATTTAACAATTTTTTTAACTAGGCAGCAAGTGATATAGTTGATATAAGAGAAGAAGTTGAAAATGATGGCACTGAAACAAAAGGTAAATGACTATTGCTAATCACTAAACTATTAGTCTTGTTAAATTGACTAATATTCAAACCTTGATTTATTTCATATTTATGATAGAAGATTTCAGATGTTTATTAAATTTATTTTTATTGAATTTAAAGATATACAAAAAGCAGTAGAAATGTTAAGCCCTCTTTATCCATAAAATAGCATAACCTAATTGGAGGCTTGATTATGCCATTGTGTTACAACCTTGATTTGCAGGGCTGGGTTATGAACAGATAGCTCACTGACCAGATTTTGGAATCTTCAGCGAAATAATCTCCCCATAGTTAAATTCAGAGGAATTGACCCAAGAGAAAAGGAGGAAGAGCCATAGAATGACTTCTGGGGACAGAATAGACTGACTTCTAATGACAATATAGACATATCTGTGTCTGTTCTAAATCACACAGGAGTAATAGTAGTGGATCTAGGAGGACTAAGTTTCAGATCCATCTATTCTTGGGAAGTACTTCATTGCAGGTAGTGTCAACTGTGAGGACAAGAAGCATGAGAAGGGGGTGTCAGATATGTGGGCTGAGGTGAACACTCAGACTATTCAGGGCATTTTCACTATTGTGAGAAAGGGTTAAAAGCCAATGTAGAAACTCTCAAAATGTAGCTGTTGAAGAAATATATGTGGGAAGTTACTGTAAAATTTTCTGAGAGAAATATTTGGCAATGGGAAATTAGCTAGAGAGAGGCTGTATGTATGGAAGAGGCAGAGATGTTGTGACACAGATTGTGTTTGTGCCACAGAGATTGGGAAAGTATACATGGCACAGACTGTGTGGGTGTGACACAAACAGTATGTGTTCTGGCTGCTGCTGGGTAAGTTTGAGAGCTGTTATACCCTGTCTCTTTAAGACAGGGAATGCTGTCCTCTGTTGTCTCCCCTCTCTCCCGCTCTGCCAAGATGGGATATATGGTGGATGGGAGGAGTGTGGGGGTGCGTGAGAGAGAGAGAGAGAGAGAGAGCTGGCAGCTGGAGAAATGTAGTGCACTGCCTCTTAAGACAGGTGTTCATCTCAGTCACCCCAGGGACAGCGGCTGCTGGACCTGGCACGAACTGTGACTAAGCAAGCCCGACTCAGTCCCAGGTCATGCTGGTCCGGGACCAGTGCAACTCTGCATTTTAAATGTAAGAGCTGCCCTGCTTTTACTATATTTAAAATACAGAGCTACAGCGGTCCCAGATCTGGCATCCAGGACCTACCCCTGCTATCAGTTTAAATGTAATAGGAGCTGGGTTGCTCTTGTAGCTCCTGGACAGGCATGAGCTGGGAGAGAGCACCTTTCCTTATCGACTAATTGTGTAGTTGATACAAATTATATTGACTACATGATTATTCAGTCACCTGCCTCTGAAAATCCTTAGTCACAATATGGAAGACCCTACACAGGGTATAAGAAAGTAATGCTATCCTTTTTTTACTGATAAGGAACTGAGATACTGGAATCATTTTTGGCCTGGTACTGCTTACAGCGTGCAAGGCATTAACCAAACAAATTGCAAGATATATTCCTTGAAACTAGAGTCCCTAATCTTAACTCGTAAACTATTAAAAAAAATAAATAAAGGGAATTAATTAGGGAAGTTGACTGAGCTGAGGAGCTCAAGGATCTGAAGATGAAGGAGGCTTGGGATTTCTTAAACCAAAGTTACAGAAACTACCTGTAGTCAGTATCCTAAGTAAGGAGGAAAAACTTATAGGGCACAATTGCAGATGATACTAGATGAAAAAACATCTAACTGTGTATTAAGAAATAGTGGCATCATAATACACAGTTAGATGATGCCATAATACACAGTTAGATCATAGGGCTTGTCTATGTGGCATCATAGGGCTTGTCTAGACTACACTGAAGTTTTGAAAGAGGATATGCAATTTCCGCTTTAGAAAGTGAAAGTAGTCAGGATGCTGGCTTTTTTCGGCAAATCCCCCCTTTTTCGAGAAGCTCTTTTTTGAAAAGCCACTCTTCCTCAAAAAATGAGGTTTACGTGGCTTTTTGAAAAGGGGGGAAGTTGCCGGAAAAAAACGCATTTCAAAAGTGAGATCAGTGAGATCCCGTGGAATTTGCATATCCTCTTTTGAAACTTAATCATAGATTAGACATAGCCTTAGAGACAGATTTATTAGGACATAAGTTATCATGGGAAAAGCCCACTTCATCAGATGAATTGGAGAGGAATTATAGAAGCAGGAATATATATAAGGAAGAAGTTGCTTGTGTTAATGAAGCTTTTGCACTTGAAAGCTTATGCCCTAATAAATCTGTTAGTCTCTAAGATGCCACAGGACTCCTTGTAGTTTTTGCAGATATAGATTAACACTGCTACCCCTCTGAGGTTATTAAGAGAATGCAGAACGCTTATAGAGAAATGGACACGGTGTAGATAAGTGTGAAAAGCTACGTCTTTGAGGTATGAAAGTGTAGGAATAAAGCGAGAATTGCCAAAAGCCAAGCAGAACTGGACTTTGCAAAGGAAACTAAAACAAACAGTAAATTACTAAGAGAGAGTGTTCTTTAACCATATACATTTAAAAAAAAATTAAAAATGAAGAGGGATTGCTAGGAACAGAGGACGGGGTGGAGATTAAAGATATTCTAGCTATCCAACACCTAAATGAATATGTGTCTTAGGTGGCTGATGGGAATGAGGAAGGAGAAATTTTCACATTCTGGGTGGAAGCTAAACTCAGATAGCTCAATGGGAATGCAGCAGGGGCCCAACAACCCTGCCTCATCGTTTTCTCTCCAGAAACTGGATGGATTCCGCTAGATGTGCTCTTAGTGAAACTAAAAATTCCCTTTCAGCAGTATCACCATAATCTCCCATGCTCCTACCTATTTAAAATATTTTCTGAGCTTTAGGCCTTCTCAGCAATACCTGAGGGGACAGAGGTCTTCCTATCTAGGCCTCTGTGTGATTAGACTCCATTAAACCTCTTCCTCCCTCTGCACTTCCTTCCTGTGCCTCTTTTGTCAGCCCTGGACTGATTGGGCCAACCTCTAAGTCACCGAAGAGCAACTTTACCTGCTCTCTCCTTGCACTCTGTCACAAGGACTGAATCAGGATAATCTTCCTCTAAGAATATTAAAGGAACTGACACAAAAGTTGATGCTATAAGCTGGGGACTTAACAGTTGGAAGTAACAGAAGAGGAGAAATACTTGAGTATATTTGTCAATCACAGGATGAAGATGAGGCACTAATGTGGTGCCTGCCTGGAAAAGGCTAATTAGGACATTCCTAAGATGCATTAGGGAAGGTATTTCCAGTAGTAGTAAGTTTTTATTACCAATGTACAAGTCACTGGTCAGGCCTCATCTGGAATACTGCATACAGTTCTGGTCTCCCATCCTTGAGAAACATGAATTCAGACTGGAATGGAGGATCTGAGGAATGGCGAACTTGTCCTGTGAGACACCTAAGGAGTTAGGCTTGTTTAGCCTAACAAAACAAAGGTTAAGCGGCAAGATTATTTGGCTCTATAAAGGCATGAGAGGGATGAATAACAGCGAGGAAGAGGAGTTATTTAAGTTAAGCACCAACGATGACACGAGAACAAATGACTATAAACTGGCCTCCAACAAGTTGAGGCTTGAAATTGGATGAAGGTTTCTGACCATCAGAAGAATGAAGTTCTGGAAAAGTCTTCCAAGAGGTGTACTGAGAGCAAAAAAACCAACTTGTTTAAAAACTAAGTTTATGGAGGGCATAGTATGATGAGATTGCCAACAATGGCGATCCATGTCAGCACATCTCTCATGGCTAGAAATAGGCTGCTATATGGGGAGAGCTCTGACTTACTATAGAGAATTCTTTCCTAGGGGTACGTCTAGACTACAGGCTTTTGTCAGAGGCTTTATCCACAGATACTGTCGACAAAGCTTCTGTTGACAAAGAGCGTCTAGACTACATCCAGTTCTGTCAACAAAGAAAGCTGCTTTGTCGACATGAGAGTGTAGACGCAAAGGACAGTGTAGATGCAATAATGCCTTCTGCCAACAGAACACTGTTGACAAAAGGCGTTATTCCTCGTAGAATGAGGTTTACCGCCGTCGATGAAACTGCCAAGTTCTGTCAACATTATGTATAGTTTTGTCGACAAAAGTCCACTTTTGTCGACAAAACACTGTAGTCTAGACACACCCTAGGTGTCTAGTTGATGGGTTTCATCCACATGCTCAGGATTTAAGAGATAACCATAAAAGGTCAGGAAGGAATTTTCCTCCAGAGCAGATTGTCAGAGACTGAGATTTTTTTTTCGCCTTTATCTGCAACATTGGTTACATGCTGGTTTTAATTAGAGAAAATGGTGGATTCTCTTTAACGTGAAGTTTTTTAATCAAGTTTTGAAGACTTAAGTAGCCACAGGGATGTGGACCTATTGCAGGAGTTGGGTGAATGAGGTTTTATGGCTTGCCATGTGCAGGAGGTCAAGCTAGATGATAAAAATGATCTTTTCAGGCCTTAAAGCCTGAGTTTGGAAACAATGTGTTTACCATTTGAATAGCCAATGAAACATTTAAATGACTACAGTGATTGCTGTTGAATTAGGAGCAAATTTTTCTAGCTGCTTCTGAAGCTTTTAAAGGTTTTATTTTTATTATTAAAAAACCACGATTTTAAAGATAAAAATGTCTTTTTGTTATTGAATGAACTGAATTCATAGTTACCAAAGAAGTTTGTGCAGATACTTTGGACTCATGGTAAATTTCCCTATTTGTCCTATAAACCATCTCTAATTTTCAGGTAACGTTGTTGTACTTCATACATTTATAAAAAAAAATCGAATTGTCTAAATAGTTGGTCCCAACTGAGCCAAAGTACAAAGAAGGTTTGTTTCTCCAGCTAATGGCACAGTGAGCAACTGTCACACTCTAGTGCACCACTCGAGAAAATGATTAAATCAAATGAGAGGTACCAAATCACTGTAATAGAAGTGTCACAGGATCAGTGTCTCTGTTTTGCATTAGCTTTATCCTGTGACAATGCTCTGGTTCATGGACAGAATTATTTAAACAATTCAGCCGTAATTTCAAATGGAAAATGTTTTGGCAAAATACTTTTTGTTTATTAATTTTGCACAGGAAAACGCAGAACTGCTCACAAGCCTCATTCAAAGCCAAAAGTGTCAGACAGTTTTGAGGTTAAGTGTCAAGAAAATGGTATGGATACAAAGACTAAGGGTTTTTCCCAATCTGATGAGGAACTGTGGGCCCGATTAGAAGAGCTTGAGAGACGAGAAGAGATGCTGGATGAACTTGACAGGTATATTACTGTTGAAGGTTTGGTAGAAAGATGTAATTAAAACCTTTACAACCGTGGTTTCCAACCTTTTTAATCACAAGATCACTTTTTCAATTTAAGTGCAATGTAAGATCTACCTCCATCCCAAATACCTTTGCCCCACTTCCTTCCTGCCCCTTCTTTGAGGTCCTGCCTCACCCCTTCTCTGAGGCCTCACCCTGCTCATTCCATCCCCCTTTCTCACTTTCACCAGGCTGAGGTAGGAGTGCAGCCTCTGGTCTTGAGCCAAGGCGTTTGGAGTATGGGAGAGGCTCTAAGCTTAGCCCAGAGTGGGGGATTGGGGTCCGGGAGTGTTTTCAGGGCTGGGATAGAGGTTGAGGAAGCAGGTTCTGCCTGGGCACTATTGAACTGATACAGCTTCCGGGTGGTAGCTTCTGGTTAAGGCAGGCTTACTCCTGTCCTGGCCCTGCACCACTCCCAAAAGCAGTTGGCATGTACAGCAAGGCTCCATGGCACCATGTGCTGCCCCTCATCTGCAGGCACTAATCCCACAGCTTCTACTGGCCACAGTTCCCCGTTATTGATGAATGGGAGTTGCAGGAGTGGTGTTTGCAGGCAAGGACAGCATATGGAGACCCCTTGCTATGCCTTTCCCAGGGGCTGCAAGGACATGCCAGCCATGTCCAGGAGCAGCAGTTACCACAGGGATAATGACTCCAGCCACGACAAGTTAGGCATTTTAGAACTCACTACTCAACGAGTTAAATTTAAATGTGAGAGAGAAACGAAAATTATGAAATACACAGACCAGTCAAAAACCTAAAATACCACACTTTGCCAGTAGTAACAGCAACCCCCCACGTATGTGCTGGGTCTGGAGATGAGAGTGAAGGTCAGTGTGTGGTTGTGAGTATGACACACACACACACACACACACCCCCCCCCCCCCCCCCGTGTGAGAGTGATAGAGATTTGCATTGTCAAGCTCCCTCCATCCCCTTCTCTCTGTGTGGAGATAGGGTACAGAAGTGTAATCAGGAAGGGCACCGTGACATCAACGCGCCCCCCCCCCCCTTTTCCTCTCACACCCTGCATAGCAAGCAGGAGGCTCCCAGGGAGGCAGCTCTAAGGCAGAGGACAGGAACAACATCATAGTGGGTGTAGGGGCAACTGAAGTGCCAGCATCTTGATAGCTTCCAGCCAAACCAGTCAGGATCATCTGTCAAGAGGCTCCAAGATCTACTGGTAGATCCTGATCTACTGGTTGGTGACCACTGCCTTACTAGCATGAGCAAATAGGTGCTTTTAGCAGTTGATTGGCTTAAATCAGTGACTGCGGAGGACCAATATTACATGTTATTAATTTTAGTTCCATTATAAACTGAGACAACTCTTAAAACAACCATTCAGAGTTCTGTTTACTTTTTAATATCTTAAAATTCACAAAAACAAATAAAATGTGAAACTTAAAATAAGCTGCTCATAATAAAGGAAGATTTGGGTACAAAACCTGAGTGCCACAGAATTTCTATGTGATCAGGGAACATTTAACATCTGTATGCCTCAGTGTCCCCTCTATGCAATGGTTATAATAAAACTTGCTTACCTCAAGGGTGTCATGTGTGAATAAACTATTTAATGTTTGTGAAGTATTTGTGAGGCTACAGTGATGGAGCCTATAAATATAACCAAAAGAATGAACAGGGATCATAATTATTAGGGTTGGATGAAGAAGGTTGGAATATAGAGGATCAGATTTTCTAAAGGAATCCAGCTCCTGAGTGGTACAGAGGAGCTGGAATGTGTCTGTAAATATCTGGAAGGAATCCCCTCATTCTCCTGACACAGGGGAACTATTTAATGGCAGAGGCAGTTCCTGTGATTGCAGCCTTTCTCCCACGTCTATTATAGGAGGCACAACTTGGAAAGAAAGATAAAGCATTGCAAAGTAGTTCCACTACTCCCATCGTTCAATGACATAGTGGCTGTTTGAGATGCTATGCTAGGATGTGAGTTAGTGCAGCACTGTAGCTACTTTCACTGGCCCTAAGACTACTTCAGAAAGGCACTGGATCACGGAGCTGTAACCAGCTTCTTGATACTCTCATATGTATCTTGCCTTAATTAGAGCTTGCTTGCAAGAGAGAGGCTGGCCTAAAGCATACAAAATGGATAAGCTAGTAGTATAGTTGGGCCGTTTGTATTTCTGACCTGTTGTGCATACATCCTCAAAAACAACTCTTTTAGTTGTGAATCACCATCCTTAGAGCAGTTTTGGTCCCAAAACAAAAAAAATATGACTTAGGACCAGATTGTGGCTCTCTTGCTTGCACTGATAAACACCTCCTTATTGAAGTGGTTCCACATATGAATAAGCACTCCAGTCTGGCCTTTAAATTCTATATTGTGTATGATATTGTTCTTTCCTAACTTCTGCCAGAATATCCCATCTCATAATTATTCTGTGGGTTCATATGTTATTCTGTAAGTTCTTTATCTTGCTAGGCTATGATTTGTATTGATAAGTTTTCTTTCCTTAAGTGTTTTTGCATTTTGTAGGACACCTCTTACGGTTGAGGCAAATGGAGAAGATACAACCTCCTCTGAAGAGGAGAAAGATGATAAGACAGATCTGAATGTGGTACACAGAGTGGAAGACTCTACTACTCAGGACACTATACAGAAAGAAGTAACAAATTCAGAATTGTTCAGTGGCCAAGTTAATGGCCCAAATCATTATAACAGTGATGATGAAGATGACTTAGGAGTTGCAGATGATTCTGTGCCAACTATATTTTTCTCTCATACTGTTGAACCTAAAAGGGTTTGTACTTTTTATATTTTATCTCTATATAATATAGCCTGTGTGTGTGTGCGTACACACACATACACCATCGGTGTTATTTAACTAGTGTACCTCATAGCCCCATATAGTAAAATATTCTATTGCTTGAATGAGCCTGGAAAAGGGGCCTACCTCATATGGGTAAGATGGTGTCAGAGATGAGGAAGTCATCCAGGCTTCCAGAGCTAAAGTTAAACTATTAAGCAAGTGAAAAAAGAAGGCTCTCATCAAGAAACAAGTCAGAAATATGTCTACTTTATAAACTGGAACAATTTCTGAAGGAAAAAGGTAGAAGATCCCTTTGATGGGGTTGTGGAGGGAAGTGGAGGAATGCATTAGATGTCCCAATATAGTGGTCTCCAACCTTTTTATGCCCAGGATCACTTTTGGAATTTAAGGGCAACCCAAGATTAGCCCTCTCCTTACCTAAAGGTCCCATCTCCATTGCTTGCTGAGGCAGGGCATTGGGGTTCAGTTGAGGGATGTATATATAGGAGGGGGGTATGAGTGCAGGCTCTGGGAAGGGGCTCAGAGCTGAGACTTGAGGTGTGGGGCAGTATGGGGTGCTGATTCTGATGAGAGATAAGGGCTGGGCCGGGTGCTTGGGGTACAGGAATGGGTATGTGGTGTTGGCTCTGGGGGGGGTCAGAACTGGAGCAGATACTTGGGGTGCAGGGGAGCGGGTTCAGACTGCAGGAGGGGGCATAGGCTCTGAGAGCAAACTCAGGGCTGGGGTTTGGGATGCTGGGTCAGGGGAAGGGATTGGTGAAGCAGGGGTGATGGCTGTGGAGGGACCTGGGGGGTTTCTACAGGTGTCACCATTGCCAGCTTCAGGTCAGAAGCACAGCAAGGCTAAGTCAGGCTCCCTGCCTGACCTGGCCCCACTCTAGAGCCCTGCACAGATACACATGTCTACTTGCAGATAGACATTGGTATTCTTATCTGTAGGGTTCTGCTCCCAGGTGATGCTGAAGCCAAAGGGGAGGAGCAAAGTGCCGCCAGTTCCAGGAGACCATGCTCCTCCCTCTGTGCAGCTGCACTGCTCCCAACTCTGCCATCATTTGAACCTGCCCCAGCAGTGGCTAGTGTGGTTGGTCCAGGATAGTGCAGAAGTTATAGAGGTCCTGGAAAGTCAGAATCTGTGGCTTCCATGACCTCCATGATTGACTCAAAGCCTTAACCCTAGCTTGTATTCCTAATCTTACTATATATTTTAGAAATGTACATATGTCTGTCTATCTGTCTGAGAGTCTGTTTGTTCAAAAACTCTTCCTATACGGTAAGACAATTACATTTGGTAGGCAGCTTTCTCTTAAAACTTAAAGCAAGGGTTGGTTGTGCTGGGCTACTGGATGTGCCTGGAATTCAGTTGTTTTTCATAAAATGGAAGGAGTCTGGCAGGAGGGAGTTATACTGCAGAATGACCACAGGGGAGCAGCAATGGGCCAGAGATAGGGCCTACAACAGCTATAACCCCATTAGGTCAATAGGAGGCCGGGGTGGAGAAAGAGACAGCTACAAACTATATATTTTAGAAAGTTTGTCTATGGGTCTGTCTGTCCCCTAGCCAGGAGACATGCACCTTTCCCCTGACCGTGCTCTCTGGAACTTCAACAGCCATGGACAGGCGCTTCTCACCTGGACCCAAGGTGCTTTAGTGAGAGAGGGCTGGGGTTCTCCTCTCTCCCTGGGGCAGCCTGTACAGTGAACACTCGTTCCCAGCCCTACCCCAGAGGAATGATTTAAATGAAGAAATAACTTCTTTGAGTTAAGGACCCAAGCAACACTGGGTAAATCTCCTAATAGCATTTCTAAAATGTCACTGCAGGGTCATTCTAACTCTTTGCTGTACTTACACCCTTAGGATAAAATAGTTTTTTCCCTGAAAATGCATTTTATATTTATTTTAGACATGCAGTATTGTAAAATGTAAAAGCCATTGCAGAATTCATTGTGTAAATCAAACATTTACGTGAAACCTTGAAAGTAAGTGCCATGGCATATCTTGTATTTAGGACCCTGATGATAGCCGAAGCTTAATTTGGCTCTTTTTCTCCAAAAAGATTTATTTTGCTGCTCTGTGTTTTGAAGTCCATTAGTTCAGTCATTAAATCTCAAAAATGATACCAAAAAGTTATATTAAAGTTTACATACTACCTAGGGATGATAAATTTTGATTAATCAGGTAATCGAGTAGCTGATGGAATTCCTGTTGACTTCTCGATTAGTCAATAAGGGGGGCGCTCACTATCCCACTGCACTTCTCCCTTTGAAATGTTTGGAATATATTTCAAAGGGAGAGAGACAGCAGGAAAGTGGGGAGCAAAGCAGTCCCTGCTGGCATGGGTTCCCCTCTGTGCCTCTTCCTTTGAAATGTACAAGAGCCTATATTCCAAAGGGAGAGGAGCAGAAGTGGGACTGATGTGATTTCAGTCCCCGCTCACACTGTTTCCCTGCTGTCGCCTACCTCCCCTGCCCGCTGCGGAGACAGTGCTGGGGGCAGGAACCAGCTTTTAAGCTGGCTCCCACCAGCATCAGCTCATGCTCTCTCCGTCCTCCTGCTTGCTGCCTCTCCCTGATAGAGGCGGGGCCGGAGGAGGGGGTGAAGGAAGCGACTAGTCGAGTTTCTAGTTGACTATCCGATAAGCATTTGCTTACATCCCTAATACTGCCAGTGCTATGGCACAACTTTCTACAAGGTAATATCACTGGGCTACATTTTCTAAAAGTGCCTTTTACATTCAAGGGAAACTAAGCTCTTGGTCAGAGTTAATGACTTACGGTGTAAGTTTTATTCTTACCCATTCCTGATGTAAAAAGTTATTTCTTGATGCTAATGCACATGAATTTTGCATATAATACCAAGACAAAAGCGACGAGGAGTCCTGTGGCACCTTATAGACTAACTGAAGTGTAGGAGCATAAGCTTTCGTGGGCAAAGACCCACTTCGTCAGATGCATGTGACATGCATCTGACGAAGTGGGTCTTTGCCCACGAAAGCTTATGCTCCTACACTTCAATTAGTCTATAAGGTGCCACAGGACTCCTCGTCGCTTTTGCAGATTCAGACTAACACGGCTACACCTCTGATACTTAATACCAAGACAGTGAGCATTGGGACTGTCACTGTCAATACATTTTGATGTTTAGTTGTATCCCCCAGCTGCTTGGATATGGAGAATTCATTAATTCATTTGACCCATGCCCTTCTGATTACTTGATTTTTGTATTCTAGAATAATTTGTGTTTTAATTTTCAGGTAAGAATAAACACAGGAAAAAATACTACTTTGAAATTTAGTGAAAAGAAAGAAGAGGCCAAACGTAAAAGGAAGAATAGCAATGGCAATGGACACTTGGCCCCAGAACTGCCTAACATCAGAACACCTGCAGATATTTACCGGTATGTAACGTATAGCTATGGCTACTGTGTTTTCCCCAGTAAGACTGCCTTCTGTGTTCCAGTGTGTCCTCTTTGAAGCATCCTGCAGGAATTTTGAAATCTTACCCAAAAATGGAGCTGTCTCTCACAGAAGCATTTAGAACTGGGCATACATCTTAAGAAGTGAACATTTGTGTCGCCTGCATGGTTGTCACACATTTAAATTGTCACATTTCATAGATATTGCATGCTGCTTTGGTGAGTGATGCATTTTCTCAGACTAGGGGTCAGTAATGTATTTTTTTAATCAATACTTTTAAACTTTACCCCACTGCTTCATGCCATATCTCCTGCAACTTAAAGGAATGAAATGGCCCATGGCACTTTGTCTAATTAAACATATTGTCAATCTTTTTACATATTTTTCAAATATAACTGATCATGTCCGTCACATTATGCTTTCTTACTTTTTCTAGCTTCATCCCACTGTTTCTTTGCTCTGGTGTATCCGTTTCTGAGTAATGTCCTTTCTCTTTTTCTTATTCACTCCCTTCAGTCGAGCATATTCCTTTCAGCACGTGCTTTACCTCCTCTCTGGTATATTTCTCTTTTTCATTTCTTCCCTCCCCACAAAATCTTTCTCCTTTTCCATCTACTTCTATCTATTTCAATCTTCAGTATTTCTCTTTCCCATCTGCTCACAGACACATATCTTTATCTGTTCCCTTCCTACCCATTCTCTCCTCTCCATCTTTCAAAGGGTGAGAAAAATTGACCAGACTTCTGATAGTTAAAGGAAAAAAGCAAGATTGAGAAACGGGGATAGACTTTTAAAGATTTAGGTGCCTGAAGATGCAGATGAGTACCTGTTGGATTTTCAAAAGCCTCTGGAAATATAATAGGCATCTATCTGCAACATCACATTCCTAATTACTTCTGAAAATGTATTCACAGGCAACACCAGGTGAAAAGTCCAGCCCACTTCTAATGACAGCTATATAACTGCTGGGAAAAGGGAAGGTTTGGGGTTCCATAGTGGTGTCTCTGAACCCTCATTAGGATCTGTATGTTTTGTAGTCTTAGGCTAGTATGTGCATAAAAAATGTGACGATCTTAAGAAACAAACAAAATCCCACTCTCTAGCTCCTGAAAGAAAGCTGTTGTACTTTTTCTTCCAGGAGCCTGCTTCTTTCCCAATTAAGTCAGTGACAAAGCTTTCACTGATTTCAGTGCTGCACTATTAAATCCCATAGCCTACCAGTCTTCCCCAGTTCTGCTAATACCTGTGATGTACTATTTTTGGCATGTCTGCTATTGTACCTCATCAGTTTTTGAGTTCTCCCTAGTGAATAGCTCTAGTACCTACCTCTTCTTCTGGCAAGCTGCATCAGTACTAAATTGATTGGTTTCTTGTTGGTTTTATAGCTTTTCATAGGGTTTCAAAGAGTAGTAGCAGCAATTAACAGATGCTGGTCAAATATCATTGTAGTTTGGAAAAACTATGAGCAGCAACAGAGGGATGGGAACAGTACCTGTAGACTCAGGAAGAAGGCTCTGTCAGTTCACAATGTGCATGTTTGGAAAGTTTTACATTAGAAACTAATGAGCTAAAAGCTTATTTTATTTTTAGTGAAAGTGTAGATTCTACAGAAAATAATGGCACTTACCTGGGAAAACTTCCTTGCCCTGTGTGAGAGAATGTTTCAAACAGTTGTTTACGTACTCTACCTCTGAAAATGATTTCACACTACAAAGCCTGTTATCACAACTTTCTGTTTGGTTTCTAGAAATACAACCCTCAAACTCATCTTGTGACTACAATTTTTCTTTACATTTTGCAAATCAAGCTGTTCTGTCAAGTGTCTAAGAGCTATACAGTTTCTACAAAAAGAGTTTACCAGCTAATCCTTTAATAAAGGCATGACAGTGTTTGGGTTGAAGAATTATTTCATGTTCATTAGTAAAGAAAATGTTTTATTGTATCTTTTAAAGGTACAGTATTGTAATACAGCAGTTGAAAAGTTAGAAATGCAAATCATAATTAATTTGTACAAAAGACGAAGTGAGATCACTGTACATTTGTCATCTGATCCTGAAATAGTTTATTAAAGCGAACGTTTTCCTTTATAGAGTCTTTGTTGATGTTGTGAATGGAGAATATGTTCCTCGTAAATCAATTTTGAAGTCTCGAAGCAGAGAGAATAGTGTTTGTAGTGATACCAGTGAGAGCAGTGCTGCTGAGTTTGATGACAGACGAGGAGTTCTGAGGAGTATTAGCTATGATGAAGCTACTTACAGTGACAACAGTGAAGGAATCTTGGAGGAGGAGGAGGTGGAGGAGGGGCATGAGCATCTTCCAAAAAAACTTTCAACCTTATCAGGAACATTTGAGGTACAGTTTTTGATTAATATTCATTGTTGGCATGGGTAAAAAGGAAAATGCTGGATAGCATAGTTACCCTTACCATCCATTTGTTTAATTTCTTTTTAATTAATTTCCCAGCTCTCTCTACCTCTCTCTCTGGGGAGAGATTGTCAGGAGGCGTGATCTCTCTTCACCTACCCGTTTTATTGTGGGATAGCCAGCTGAACTGAATATTTGCTCTTTTTGTAGCACAGTAGACAGTATCCCTTCCTCTGAGCATGTTGACTTCATGGCTTTCAAATTTAGTGCACCCTGGGACTTTCCCAGTGTTAACTGAGTCCCGTGACAGAAGGAGGAAGGAAACTGTCCTGGTAATGCAAGGGTGGGCAAAAGGGCCTCTGTGGGCCAGATCCAGCCCACCAAGCAGAATGATCCGGCCCGTGGAGGCCCTGCCGCTCCCCCGCCCCCAGGCCAATTAGGGGTGGGGGAGCCCATGAAATTTGCTCCTGCCGTGCAAGGAGCACGCGGCACTTCAGAGTGCCATGTGATCCTTGCAGGGCAGGAGGAGACATCACATGCTTCTCTGCCCCAAAGCCCTGATTATCCTGGGGGCAGGGGAGAGGTGGGAAGTTCCCTCTGCCCTGCAAGGAGCACACAGCACTTCAAAGTGCCATACGCTCGCACAGGGCGGGGGCAGGGTGAAGGAAGCTTCACCCTGCTCTCCCGCCCCCAGGCCCTAATTGGCCTGGGGATGGGGGAATGTGGGAAGCCTTTTCCCCGCCCTGCCAGGGACATGGGTGCCTAGTGGGAAGGAGGGAGGAAAAGGGGCTCCCCCGCCCCCAGACTAATCATGGTCTGGAGGTAGAGAATCCAAGAAGCACCCTAGCCCTGCCCCCTTCTGCTTTAGGCCCCCCCCCTTCCAGGTGGCCTGGGGCCACTTCAAAATTTTTTGAAATGGCTCCTGGCCCAAAATTATTGCCCACCTCTGTGCTAATACATAACACAACTTCTGGAATTTGGTCTTTAAGAAGAGCCTGTTCTTTCAAACAAGATGCCATCAAAGAGCTGAACCAAACTGAGTAATCGCTTATCATAAATTAAAGTGACTCTACATCACTAGGAAAAACGTGCCTGGGCTTGGTGAATAGCTGTGACAGCCACTGAGAGCATTCAGAAATAAGACGTGGTTGCTCCAATGGCATTCATAGAAATTAATATTTTAACATGTTTTTGTTATTGAAAATTACAGTAATTTTATAAAACTTAGGTTACATAGAATTTTCAGAAATTCTGGGGACAGAAGGCATCTTCAAAGGGAAATTGTTTCATCTGGAAAGATATTTATTTTTAACAAAAAGTAGATTCATAGACTCACACTGCTGTGTGAGTGCTTTACTCTCTAAACAGCCACATAGTCCTGTAGTTATGGGTTTTTCTGTATATCCACTTTGTTATATCTGCATAGACCCTAATCCTGCTGAGGGATCCATGTGGCAGCCCTTATGTTTGCAGGAAGTCCTATTGACTTTAAGGATATTCAGTGGAAACATAAGGATCTGCTGGTGTGGATTTTTTTTTTTGCAGGGGTAGCACTATCGATCGTAATTTCTTTGGAGTTGAGACTATATTCTGTACGTTAAACATCTAGTACACTTCTGTCACTGTAAAACAAAAATAGATCATTCCTATATTCATCTCTGAATAGAGCGTGATTTTGTACATCTCTCAGAGCAAAATGCGCCAATCAGAATGAAAGATAGATTCACTTTAAAAAAAAATGTTTTGCTTTCAGTGTTTTTATGAACATTTGAAACGTAGTATTTATTTGGTTGCATTTGCCATAAGTTGATTTTTTTCTTTTATTTTTTTGATGCAGCAGAACTTCAGTGGACATATTTTATTTAGCTTTTATAAAAATGTAGTATTCCTGAACAAATCAGCAGAATGGTACAATTTTGGGTTTAATTTTGCTGTTGGCGTAGAGCACAAAAAATTGCTTTTTTTGCAGGTCATGCAAGAAAAGTGGCTATTTTGTTGTGTTTTTCTTGGCAATAGAATAACTCTTAAAAGAGCAGATTTAATAAATCTGGTATCTAATCCTTTTTGCCCAATATAATAATAAAACCTTGGGTATAAGCTAGTGTAGCTTTAATCTGAAATGCTCTGAACCATTTTTAATTTTCAGCATGTTATATTGTGACTTTTTCAAAATGTAGCATTTTATATTGCATAAGCACACTGTTATGCATACTGTAAGCCTATGGCTGTTGTTAAAAGCATTTATGAAAAATAGTTTCTTACTGTTTTTCATATGGCAAATATTCTGTTTCTTTTTATTAAAATAGCAAAAAAGTGGAAATTGTAATTTAAAATATTAAGATGTACAGTTTTAGTTAAAATGTATAAAGGAAGAAAATAATTAGAAGCCTTTTGTTCTCTTATAAACAGCCATGATCAATTTTTGATAATTTTTGGTAAGAAAGAAAAACTAAGACTCAACAAAATATAGGTAAATTTATATTCTAAGTGTCAACTTGATACAATTAGAGAAGACCAAGTTATCAAGCCATGAAATATGACACATGATGGAATATGCAGACTGACCTAAAATCCACAAATTTTTCCCATTTGTTATCTATGATGAAATTGCCGGTTGTACAATCTGTTTTATTTTCTTGATCAGTGGGAACCAATTTTTTCAGATAATTTATGCATTTAGGAATGTGATTAAGTAGTACTTTTAACACACTATCTTTCATTCAGATTTCTTTGAACAAGTTATATTATAAGGTTAATCACAGTTTGGTTACTTATGCAAGGAAATACCATTGATTTAAGTATATTTCTTTCACTTTTGATTAAAAGAAATAACAATCCTAATAAGGCTAATATAGGGTAATGACCTTATGGGCAAAGCTTCACATCTGCATTTTATTAGCTCATTCTGAGTTTTCTTTTTTGTTGTAGGCTTTTTCTGGAACTGTGATAGAAAAAGAGCCTTTGTCTCCCTTAATACCACACCCAAGCATTGCTTACCCTGTCCTGCCTACCATTCCGGAGCGAAAATCAGAGGAAGTTCTGTCTGAGGCATCAGAAGAAACTACAAAGAGGATTTCAAAATTCAAAGCTGCCAGAATGCAACAGACAAACTAGACCCTGCTGCCGATGCAGTGAAAGTTTGAATATTAACGCTTAGTTTCACATTTTGTTGAGATTATGTAAAACTATGTGAATTACACCTAGTTAGTAAAAGGTATCTTATGTTAATTTGGCATTGTTTATCTTTTAGACCTCTATTGGTGATATTTTAAAAAAAGTGATTGAACACTTCAATATTAAGATTATTTTGTCAGTTTCCCTGTATGCTGTCAGCACCTTTGTATATGTTTGCCTTATGAGAACAGCACTTGAAATTATTTTTCAAAGATTTCTCTTCCTATACCATCGGTTTTAAGTTTAAACCTAACTGTACAGGCAGTTTTGTACCAACTGTGATGTCCTACTTACCATATGGACAGTTTTAAAGACACTTTTCAAATTTCAAATTGATTCAGCAATTATGTGTCATTACTTGCTTTAGCGTTTTAAGACACTCTTGTATCCACGTTGTTGTAGGTACCTGCTAAAATTGAGTTTTTTTCCTTCTATTAAACGTTGCTGATATCTTACTGTAAAGAGCTATAAAACAGAACGGCGTGTTCATACACATTGCAGGGAAGTTTCTTTCATGGAAAATGGTATTTTGTAAAATTAAACTTTTCAAGTAAAAAAAGCTGTGATTTTTTTTTTATTTATTAGTAATTGAAAATAAAATGTGGAACAAGTTTCTTTGAAACACCTCCCTATCACATAGACACACTGCTTTCTCTTCTCTATTTGTGTAGCAAACAGCCATTAATTCTAGTGTCAATTACATGCACATAGAGAAGGGAGACCCAGACTATGGTTATAAAATCCCCTGTCCTTTTATATAGTCAAATAACATTTTAATTGTAATGGAAATGCCCAGAGTGGAGCCTGCTAAGGATGAATGTCTTAATGGCGGCAATTTTATTACACAACTTTATCAGCCCTGAGAACTGAGGCAAAATGTCTTGCTGACATGATTGATCTCTAATCCGTGGCTCTGTGGATTTAACCAATGTGGTTAACCAGATGACATTCTTTTTACTACTCTGCATAGTTCCTGGACCCTCCAGGACTTACCAAGCCTGGGCCATCTTAACTGGACTGCAACACTACTCCCAGAAAAATATTTTGGGCCAGGGTCCACCCGGCTCTTGCAGCCTGCACTCTTGGGCTTCTCTATATTCCTGTGGTATAAACTCCACTGTCTCTCACACAAAGCCAGTTTGGGAGACTGGAGAGATCTTTTCCTTTTTCTACACTTAAATTTGTCCTTACATTTTTTTAAATTAAAAAGCAAAACTCATTTATCATTGATTTGGCTTTAAAATATAGCTCTATTGCTAAAACTATCCACAACCGACCCAACAGTTACATAGATTGCAAACAGTTGTTTTTGAAGATGTTTAAGAAATAAAGGTATGATTGTGTTCAAAGAGCCACACTGCATGTGACCTATTTTATTCACCAGAAGTTTTTACTGTGCCAAGGCTGAAGGGAGGCTCCTATCCCATCTTGTGCTTAAGTCAGTATGGCCTTCACCAAAACTGACTATAAAATCATCACTGATAAAGTTTGTATGTGACATAAAAATTGTGGGAATTGTAAATAATGAAGAGGATCACTTACCAATTCAGAGCGATCTGGATTGTTTCGTAAAGTGGGCACAAGTAAATAGTAGGTGTTCTAATATGGCTAAATATAGATGTATAATCTAGGAACAAGGAATGTAGGCCATACTTTCAAAAAGCAGGTTATTTTTTCTCTCTGCTTGGCTTCTCTAGCAGGTTTCCTTATGGGACAGGACAAACTAACTTTTAAAACACTCAGGGTATGTCTACACTACCACCCTAGTTCGAACTAGGGTGGTTAATGTAGGCAACCGAAGTTGCAAATGAAGCCCGGGATTTGAATTTCCTGGGCTTCATTTGCATCTTGCTGGGCGCCGCCATTTTTAAAGCCCCGCTAGTTCGAACACCGTGGCCGCGGCTACACGCGGCACGGACTAGGTAGTTCGGATTAGGCTTCCTATTCCGAACTACCGTTACTCCTCGTGGAACGAGGTGTACCGGTAGTTCGGAATAGGAAGCCTAATCTGAACTACCTAGTCCGTGCCGCGTGTAGCCGCGGGCACGGAGTTCGAACTAGCGGGGCTTTAAAAATGGCGGCGCCCGGCAAGATGCAAATGAAGCCGAGGAAATTCAAATCCCGGGCTTCATTTGCAACTTCGGTTGCCTACATTAACCACCCTAGTGCGAACTAGGGTGGTAGTGTAGACATACCCTCATTTTAAGTGAATACTAGGGATCGTGATGAAATTATTAATGATTAATTTACTCATGCTAAAATGTAGAATATTTTTTTAGTACTAAAATAGGCCATCAATGCCAGTCTACCCTCTCTGCATGGCTAAATATTTAAGAGATTTATAGCTTTTTAAATGAATTATTAGCTAAACAAAATGAAGTTATTTCTTAGAGAATTAGATGCTATTTTGTAACCAGAACAATGCAACTGTAAAATATAGTTCTGTGCATAAGTATTTCAGATAACGAGGTTGAGATCCAAGATGATCAGATGGGTAATTAGAGAGAGAGAGACCCTTTAAAAAGATTTATTTACATGCCTCCTAAAATACTTAAAACTTACCGGTATTCTGAAATAAGCCAACTCCTCCTGATTATTTTAAATCACTAGTAGTTCTTTCCTTGTGTTTATTCTATGCCACTTAAAAATGTTTCTCCACTCCTTCAGTTAATATAGGAAAAGTGGAATCACTATGGTTCCCGGTCTTAGACCTTAACACCCAAACCCTGAGCTGCCTTCTGCACCCTAACTCCTTCCCAGACTCTGCACCCCAGCCATAAACTCCTGTGCTAAGCCCGCTCCCACACACCAAACTCTCTGGCTCCAGCCTGGAGCTCCCTTGTGCACTCCAAACACCACATCCCAGAGTCTGCATTGCCCCCCAGGCCTGAGCCCCCTTCCAAATTCCTTGGCCTCCTCCCCATTGCAGATCATCAATGAGCAAACTGAATTTTGTTATGTGCCTCAATATGGAGGTTGTGTCTCACATCTCCATATTTGTGCACATGACAAAATTCATTCAGAACATGGACATAAAATATTAGCGGGAACATTGCCTGCTAGCTTTGCATAGAAAATTACAGAGTTTGATGGATTTCCAGTATTGGATAACATGGTCACATGTATCTGCAAGGCCACTGTCTCCATATTTCACAGGCTGACCCACACATGCATAGGAAGGTTAAGCCCCATTGGCTTTTATTAATAAACCATCACAGCCCTGAAGCACTGGGAGTGACCCAAAACAGCAAATAAGCACTTATAGATACACAATTCAAAATTCCTTAAGCTACAAAAACTATGAGCAGTCCTGTTGCACTTCAAAAACTAACAAATATATCCCGAGCCTGATACCCATGAAAGCTCATTATATATTTGTTAGTCTCTAAGGGCTACATCTACATTACAAAGAAAAGATGGAAAAAGATACGCAAATTGCGAAGTGCAATTTGCGTATCTTTTTCTGACTCTTTTGAAAGAGGCATTTCCAAAATTTGGCACATCTACCTGGCACCAAATTTTGGAAAAACCTCTTTTGAGCCATCCCTTCTTCCTCATGAAACAAGGTTTACAGGGATGGCAAAAGAATGCATCTGCTTTTTTGGATATTTTTCTGAAAAAGCAGATGCATTCCTTAGACGCAGCATAGCTTTTCCCAGATACCTCTGGTATCCGGGAAAAAGCTGCAGTCTAGAAGTAGCCTAAGATGCCACAGGACCACTTGTTTTTAAAGTTATAGACTAACATGGCTACCCCCTCTCAGACTTTTAATCTGCAAATTGATACATGCATACAAATGGGATCGTCATATTCAGGAAATTTGAACCTTTTAAATGATCTGTTACATGAGGCATCTCACATAAAAGGATATTTTAGTTATGACATCTGTTACATCACATCTATGCCTTCAATTTTCTTGATACGTGATTAATCAGTTAAGGGCATCTTTCTTCTGCTCGTCTCTGGGTTTATTCTCCACTTAAATAATAATGCAGGTAATATTTAATCTATTTTTTTAGAATTTCTTGATTTTTTTTTCCTGCTGCAGGAAGAGAGCCTGAGATGCCCTGGCTGAAATAGCAGTCAAAAAACAGCTCAAAGTGATTGCTGCTGATGGGGATTGGATGGTGAGGTTTTTCTGCTCCTCTTCCCCGCCCCCATGTCTATGAAAGGAGAGGAGCCAAAGAGGGTATAGTCATGTGACCTTGTAGGAACACAGGAACTCAAAAGCCAGTTGAAGATAGCTGAGCAAGGCCAAAAGGGGTGAGTAGCAAATGTTTTATGGGAGTTTCATCAGAACAGCCATTCATAGGCTTATTTGTTACTCCTTTCCTTGGAGGAGGAAAAAGAGAGGGAGACAGGTTAAAGGAAAAGTTATGGGGGGGGGGGGGGGGATGAGAGAGAAGGGAAAACAAAGTGACACTTTTAGAATAAGATTATTTGAGGATGAGGCAGCTCTGTGCCAGTGGAGAATCTGAATGAGCTGTTTCAGACTGAGGAAATTGAGGGAAGCTTGTCTACCCAAGTTACTGAAGCAGGAGCAAATTCAGTGCATTGTGAGGTGGCTATGCTGAGATCTGGGTGAGGGACATGGGACAACTGTCTAGCTGGGTGCATGTAGGGAGAGGAAAAAGTAAAGAGATGAGAATTCTAGGAGTCCAGGTACGAGAGATTAGGACATTCCAACTATTCCAACCTCAAAGGTCATCTTTAATCACTAGAAATGCACCCTGGCATAGGCAAATGAGGTGTGTCTTAGCTAGTGTGGTAATTTGGAGCTCCTGGTGCAGACAAGGATTGTCGTGTCTGAAAACGTGGTGGTGGGACACAGTCAATCTAGGGTCCTTAATTAGGCTAGGGCAGACACAAAGACTGACAAACTAAAATATTTTAAATACCAAAGTCTTTAATCTACCATACATGCTAAATAATGCTTCAAAATATGCTGACGTGTCTAACACACTTACCAAAACTTGCAATTTTTTGTTAAATGCACATTTTCCAAATCCAGACAGGGTCTCACTGAGCTTGTTTGGATGCAGCCATAGACATTTCTGATTTATATGCCCTCTGATTACATGCAGAATACATTTTTTGATGTTCACTTAAGCATGTGTGGATGTGCACTACTAGTAGATACATACTGCCAGTTGTGGGCACTCTGCTAATCAGCTGGGCAGCACCTGAATCTCTCCTGGGTGGCCGCCAAAGCGCTCAGTTTACAGGGAACACTGACTCTGATTAACAAACCAGTTTTAGTCACGTGTTCTACAAATTTGTTCAGAGAAAGTAAAATTTAAAATCACATGCACAAAATCACAGAGGAAACTGAATTTTAAATCCTCACTCACAGGCAGTTAGGTTGGGACTGTTTGCGTGCTCATCCAAAGCAGGAACAAAAGCAATAATGTGTAACCTATGTGACAAATCAAAACAAACAACACAGCTCCTATTTCAGATGTTTACACACAGAAAAATTTAAGAGGTTTGTCAGAAAAATTTGAATAACAATTATCCACATACATGTATGGATAGTCTGTCAGTCTGCACTGATGAAGC